TGATAATTTCATCATAAGAATTAGATAAATTATTACTGTTCTAAGATGTATTACTGCAGAGGTTGAATTTGAATTCGAGGCAGATCAAAGAAATTGCCTAAGTACAATAGATTTAACATCAGACATGTTTGATCTTGATAGCATTAAGATCCATACCCAGATACTCTTTTTTATATGGAAATTTCAATGATATTAATAACAATAATTCCACGCATATGAAAACTTTAAAATTAAATGTCCCAACACGTTGGCATAGTATATTTATTATGCTAGAAAGCATATCTGGATTATATAAGAATTTAATTATTAATGTTTTGAAATGAATTGGGGAACACTTTCTTAAATTATCAACCTATGAATCTTATCTGGTAGAAGAACTATTGGCATTTCTTTCAAAATTTAAAGAAACTGTGGTATTTCTTTCAGCACAAAAAGGGCCTACGTTGAACTTGGCGTTACTTTTTAGAAGTGAAATTGAAACACATTTAATAGTAAATGATAGTGATAGTTCTGGAATTATTTCGCTTAAGGAAAATATGCTAAAAAAACTTGCGTTACGATTTCCGGTTTGTGATCTGCAAGTAATAATATACATGTATATTCATTTATTTTTTATTTAAAAAATTATCTAGGTATTAGCAGCTTCTCTCTTAGATTCAAGATTTCAAAAATTGACAATTGTGTCAAAGTATGTAGAAAAACGAAATTTTCTTCAGAATTTATAATAAAACATCTTAAACTTATAGAAAATGATGATATTAAGGTAGTAAATATAGCGACTAAAAAAAAAAAAAAATTATCAAATTCAAGTTATTTGACAAAACTGGCAAATAAACATTCCACAATCAACAATTATGATTCCACATTAGGTGACTTAGAACAAGAATGCCACATTCTACTTGGAAAACGACATTCACAAGAAATGGGTGTTTTACAAAATTTTTGGAGAAAGAAAGAGTGAACTTCCCAATCTTTCCAAGCTGGCGAAAAAAATTCTATGTATTCCGGCGACTAGTACACCCAGTGAAAGAGTTTTCTCTACCGCTGGATTGACATTGATTTCGAGGAGGTCATCATTATGCCCGGAAAATTTAAATAAAATAATTTTTATACATGACAATTATAAAATTGCAAAATCTTTTTTGGATGTATAATGAGTTTTCTCATAAATAAAGATTAAAAAAATATGCCAAGATATGTGTAGTGTATATTTTATTTTTTGAAAAAAATTATATAAAATTTATAACTGCGCCGATTTATGCCGCTTGCCGCCGGCCTTTGATAAAATTTTTGAAAATCGCGCCGGCCGCCGATAATTTCGTCGCCGCACAGGTCTACTTATATATAATTGAGTAGGGGGAGGGGTTTATTTTATTATGATACAGATATAAATCGGTTTATAAAATATTAAAATTAGGTACAAAAATTATAATAAAGTTAATAAATAAATTAATAATTATATTTCAATTTAATCTATTAATTGGGATAAATTTAATATATAATATTTTATTTTATAAATTTGGAAAATATGTGATTCAATAATATTTATTCCGCAAGATGGCGTTTATTGTTTTTAAATACTTTTTATTAAATTATTATTTTAATTTTTTTTTATTCGTTCTATAATTTTAAATTATTTTTTTTTTATGTATGTTAATTAATTGATGTATTTAGATTGATTTGTAAAAAGTATATAAACTGAAGTACAATATATTAAATCAGTTAAAAATATAGTAAATTGTAAAATGATTTCTATTAAATCTTCTTATGTTAAATAAACTATATACAGCACTATTTTGTAATGCCCTATTGTATTGGAAAGTAAGGTCTAAGCAATGACATATAAAATACCTAGACTGACGATTCATTCATTTAAAGTGTACACCAATGCAAATCAGCTGGAGACGCCATCTTGGTTACACTAATCATTATTAAAATTATAAACGAGAGCCTAATTTATTCCTATATCTGATGCAAACTTTATTAAAGAATTACCGGATCATCGAGATAATAAGGAAGCAAGAGTAGTTATCAATTTAATAGTAGTTTTTAACATGAGAATAAATATATACCATAATGGCGGGTCCAGCTGATTTGCTTTTAACGACGCTTAAAAATGCACTTTAATGAATGAATCGTCAGTCTAGATATTATATATGTCACTGGGTCTAAGTGAATATTTAATTAAGATTTTTATTTTTATTTGATCCTGATATAAAAAAATTCTTTATATAAATTCATGAATTATTGTCATCCGTTAGGATTATATTTATATAAGTAGTTCGGAAACAATAGAAAACATTCATTCATGTTGCTTTTTTTTATTGGAAAAAAAAACCTATTAAATAGCAATATCTAGATAATGATCGTCAAAAAAAATGTATTAAAATATAAAATATATGAATTTATGGTTAAGAAATAATATATATTTTTCATTTTTCTGTACTGATCGGTCTCAAAAATTGACATTTACTCGCGGCATCGTGGAAATGCCAAATCGGTTTTATGGCCAGTCTGCCCCTGTTTATAAGAGATTGTTAGTGGGCACAAATTGAGCGTTACAAACTTTTCTTTTTTTTTAACTAAAGCGCAAATTATGTGTCAAAATTATCGTTTAGCGCTAAAAACCATTTTAAAAAGATATTTCGATACTTATTTATAATCGAAGGCTAGCATTTCATTTTTTGTTTCAAACTAACGTATATTCATTATATATATTCTGTCAAGATTTTTATACCAAAATTCGAAATCACAAAGTAACTTATCTATGAACCTACTAAATCATCAGCATAAAACTCTGAGATTTTTTTAATATCCTCTCGTGTTTTAAGTATTAATCACAGTTTAGACTCAACCGGCAAAAGAAAATAAAAAATTTTTAAATTATAATTATGACTAATAAATCTTTCTTTTAATTGAAATAAAAATGTATCAATAAGGGGAATAAAAATGTTTATTTTATACAAATCCTCAATCGTAGATGCATCAATATTTGATCGAGTGGATTGTCTAGAGACTACTCTAGGTTTAAAAATTTCAATTACAAACATATTAGCAATCTCCTTTACTTTTTCATATATTTCATGAAATTTTCATCCACATTCTCTCTGATATGTGTTAATATTTCAACAATATCCTTTTATGTATTCATAATCTCCCTTAAATCCAAATCAATTTTTTGTAGCATTTTGCTAAAATCATATGTATAATTAAATAAAAAATAAACACATTGAATTGAAATTAAAAACTGTGGCTTAATAATAGCCTGAAAAAGATTTTCGGCATCTGCTGAATCTTTTTCCTTGTGATATTGAAAATTCTAGTGCTGCAAAGACAACATCATATAGTTCAATAATGAGTTTCTGAAACTCTTGTCTTTCGATGAATCTGGTCGGACATTAGTTTTTTTTTGGATTTTTTGAGTCATGATACGTTTAAATAAATAACTCCCTTTTTTGGGTAGTGTGAAATTCATATTGAAAATGAGAAATATATATTTTTTATAAAATGGAATATGACAAACTAGACAACTTTTATGAAATGCAAAATAATATAAAATTTATTTAATAAATATAAAAATAATCAAATGTGTATATCTTTTATTATTTATAATACATTTAAAACATAAAAATTAAGCGTTTATTAAGAATTTGGTAAATTTAAATTAAAAAATAAAAAAATAAATAATTTTTTCATTTTTCATGGGGGGGGGCGGGGGGGGGGGGGGGGGGGGGGGTTAAAACCTAAACTCCCCCCTATATGCCTACGCCACTGCATGTTAAAAACTTCTATATTCAAAATGATAAGTTGCTTCCTTATTATCTCGATGATCAGGCAATTCTTTAATAAAGGATTTGCCGCAGACATAAGAATAAATTGGCCACTCTCATTTAAAAATTTTTACAATGACATAGGTATTCAAAATTGCATCCCCAGCTGTTTTCATTGATGTACACTTTTAATAAATTATATCATTGATTGGCATATGGAATCCATTCGATTTTAAATTTAATAAAGGCGATTTTAAAATTTTAAAAAATCTGATTTGACAGGAATCGTATTTCAACAGGTATAGAGTATACCATAACTGGAAATTTCAAACAATTTTTTCCACGAACTAGAGAAGAGAAGAGAAGAGAAGAGAAGAGAAGAGAAGAAGAGAAGAGAGGAGAAGAGAAGAGAAGAAGAGAAGAGAAGAGAAGAGAAGAGAAGAGAAGAGAGAAGAGAAGAAGAGAAAGAGAGAGAAGAGAAAGAGAAGAAAGAGAAGAAGAGAAGAGAAAGAGAAGAGAGAGAGAAGAAGAAGAAGAAGAGAAGAAGAAGAAGAAAGAAGAAGAGAAGAGAGAGAGAAGAAGAGAAGAGAAGAGAGAGAAGAGAAGGAATCCAGAAATGTATATTATATATTATATATTTTCATTTTTGGCTTTTAATACCTCGCGCACTCTGGATACATAAAGTATCCCCATTTAGCGTTCGGTCGCAAATCGCTCGCCCTTATAATAGTATTTTGCATAAAAAGTTTTACGGCATTTTCGAACTCGACGCCTGCTCCTGCGTTTATCTGGGCGGTATCTGTTACAGATGGATTCCGACTTTTGAAATAGTCTATAGATGCATCCTTTAGGGAAAAAATAATAATATTATGATTAATCCAATTTCAATACAATATAAATTAAATAAAAATGATCTTTTTTTTAAAAAAAAACAATAAAAAAAACAATATAATAATACATTTACAAACAATTATTTTGATAATATTATGTTAATACATTTGTCACTATTTGGCTCGCTCCGCCCCGGTTTGCAATTCCTGATACAAACGAATAATTATGGTAAATTCTTGAAACTTTTAATATATATATAAGTAAAAGTAGTGTTGTTAAAAGGTTGCGACTCTCAGGATTTCGTTAATAGATGTCCAAATCATTATTCCATCAATGAGAAAATTGTCCAGGCTTGCTTAATGTCTATGGCTAAGATATTGGGTTAGCCGTTTTTAAAAATCGAACCCTTTAACAATAGTGTAAGTGTGTAAGCAAGTGATAAATATAAATATACATTAAAAATACATTATACATATCTCTTTTTTAAAAAAAAATAAGTTTATAAACTTTCAATGAAAATTAGTTGCTTCGTTAGGCAGAGGGCATTTTTAGCCCCAATTTCGGGTAGTGTCCAGTTTATTAGAATTATATTTATATGAATTATTTTTTATTATTTAATACTTTTATAATGTTTTAACTTTTTACAATGATATTTTATATGTGTAAGTTAATATTATTTTGGAAATATTATACCTATTGATGTTAACTTTTTATAAATAAAATATTTATATATTAGCTCATTCGTTATTTTTATACTATGAGTTATTAAATGTAAAAATTAATGTCTCACTTATACATCAAGCATTCCTGTAGAGTGCTTTAGTTTTAGATGCATACTTTTTGGTGGAAATTAATCTTTACTCTTCTTTATTTCCGCTATCGGCTACGAATTTAATAGAGATTGCTTTATGGTGATACTTTATCACTGTATTCTCTATCAAACATAAGTCTCCTACTCTTTTCACTACTAGCGTTGTAGAGGCAGATTCATTAGACATTCAAAATAAAATAATACTATAGCCAGGGCCTTAAAATATGCTGGCATCCCGTCAACCCTCGCCACTGGTCTTTACAATCCCGATTGTAAACAGCCTGATAGTTCTATCATGATCCCTTAGAAAAGTGGGGATTCCTAACCTAGGATTTCTCATTTATTGATCCTCTTGCCCTTCCAATATAAATTGGGATATTCTAATAGACGCCAAAGCGAATAAATTCGCTAGCCTTTTTTAATGAGTTGGGGAGCCAGATCTCTGCTAGGACCGGTGTGAGATACTACCTACGTCAGAGGTTCACTTTAAAGATAAAAAGGTGCAATTATCTCAGTTTTATACTATCAATGACTGAGGCCCCATGATTGAGTTTTGTGTGCCAGGGTTACTTATATTATTCAGTCGGAATTTTAACGTTGGTGCTAAAAATGAAATTGGATTTCAGGAGACAGCAAAAATTAATAGCAAAAACAGAAACGCGGGTAAAGATAAGCAGAAGTCGAGGAGGATCAGTGGCCGTAAATTGCAAAATAATAATATTCCCCATTCCCTTTATACTAAATTCAAATAATATCTGAAAAATATTTCATAAAATTGTTGTGAAATTAAATAATTTATTAATACATTCCAATGCAAAAAAAAATCGGCTATCGTATTGTATCTAATAATGTATCAGCTTCAGGTAAAATATTTGATTCAGGTCATTCCAATATTTCTCCTAGAGCATTCATAATAAGTTGTACTGGATCCAAAAAAATCTTGTCGGAAATGTAATACAGCTTCTTTCATCTTGTAGCTCAAGAAGTGTTAGAAATCCTTTAGACATTTGAACATTTCATGCACTCTTGAAATTTTGCATAATCGTAGTTATTAGTAAGATATAAATGAAGCAAAATTTTTTGATAATTTTATAATATCCCATCAATGTTTAGTTTTTTAAAAAAAATTGTGATAAAATTCACTTTAAATATTAATGTGATAAAATATTTACATAAGGGAGAAATTATTAAAATAATTTTAACTTTTTGCTAAAATTAAAATGGAATACAACCTATCTGAAATATAATACTTTGCAATTTCATAATTCATATAAAGCATTTTTTGCTACGGGGGGGGGGGAATGTCTCTTCCGCTGCCTCCCTCCACTGGCTACGCCCCTGTTCCAGTAGCTTTTTCTTCAGGTTGTGCTGTTACTAATAACGTATTCCTTTATACTGCCTACTATGCTGTTAAAATCAGACATTAATAAAGCACGAAACATTGCCATAGTTTAGAATTAGAGCTTCCAATTGTTCAGTCAACATTAACGGAGATGATATAAAGATAACCCTATGAAAGATTCAATAAATAAAATATTTTATAGGAGGGGCACGGCCGAATCCCAGCGCAAAACGGGGTTTGGATGGTCCTTCTGAAATTTTGGTTTCCATTCAAGCTTAAACACATATACATATTTAATAAAAATACAAATACGGGTAATTTTGAATCATATAAGTTTTATATTGCATGCTTGGTTAAAAAGGAAAAATAAAACTTAATATATTAACCTGGTATTTTTGATACACCCCATAATTAGTTTGGCTCCACCAGGGCAAATATTTTTCGAAATCTATCACAGAGAGCCCCTAAAATAATAATTAAAACAACCTATAGCTAAATTTTGATAGTACAATTATAAAAATAAAATGTATTTCATATGAGGTCTTTCATAATCTATTGATATTAGGGTGGATGTTTAAATTTATCTGATTTTGCTAGTTGAGTAATGCCTAAAATACTTAACCTATTTAACTTACAGAAAATATTATTTTAAATTTATTTGAAAAAATCTACATGTAAAATTAGGGAGTAAGATGAAAATTTCATCAAGACACAACTATCGCTTTAAAGAATTTAAAAAAAAAAAATTATTTATAGGATAGATTCTACAAGTGCTTAGAATTCATTTCGGAACAGCTAAATTGTAAATCTAGTATTAGAAATCGCATGCTATTTGTGACATTTGTACTAGAGATCTGCAAAGTTAGGCATTATATTTAAAACGGGTTCGGGCCGGGCCGGGCCTGATATTTTTATAAAAAAATCGGGCCAGGTCGGGTTGGACCTTGGAAATTTTTTTAAATATATCTAAATTAATCAATTTTATATTGAATTTTTATTCAAGCCGGGCCGGCAAAACCATTTTAAAAAAATTTCGGGCCGGGCCTGAAAAATTAGGCCCGATGCAAATCACTAATTTATACTACAAGTACGCTCAAAGAAACTATGAATTTTTAAAGAATTGTGATTCTATCATAAATTCGTGGCACTTCTTTTAAATTTAAGTTTTTTTTAAAAAAAAATAAAAATCAATATTAAATCAGTAAATCAAAAATAAAATTTTAAAAAACTTGAAATTGTGTATCCGGGATTAAGGTGTTCAAGCTACTCTCCAATGCGGCTAGATGATTAGCTAGGTTTCCCTTCTGCGGGATTCCGCCATTGACTTCCACGGTCGTATTGGTCGTCGTATTTTGGACTAGATTAGGCCAGGCACCTGACTGGGTATCATACAAAAGGGATACTAATTGGCCTCTCAACGTTTGGTTGATATTTGTCAGTATATTAAACGATTCCAAATGGAGATCATTATTGTATCTATTATGAAAACGAGAAATCGATTGTATCGTTTTTATAACTTAAAACTTTTGCGAGAGCATTTTGATTTTATTTTATTTTGGGTGGGGTTAAAACCTGAATTTGCAAACTTGGGTCGGAGAATTCCATATAATTTGGAAAGCACTTTCGGTTAAGGTATAAGGAAAACATATGACCAAGGTTAAGATTGCTATCCATAAATTCATCAATTTTTTTTTGAAAGAAATAATTTTAAAAAGAGTTATTATGATGATAACTTATACTTATGCAAATTTTTTGAGAATTTATTTATAATAAAAATTTGGTACTGATTATATTTTAATATTTTTAATAGTGTGCATCAATAAACCTTGAATTTACTTCTTCATTCTTTTTTTTTATGTAAACCCCGATTAAATAAAAAAGGATCTATTTGCCAATAAAATTAAATAAAATACCCATTCCTCCAAAAATTTTAACTCTATCTATATCATACTTTTGTAGCATTAAAACATTAGAAGTATATGAATCAGTTTAATCTCTTTTTAAATAATTCTAATTGTTAAAAAAAAGAAGAAGTTTTAACATGATTGCATGGCATGACAGTGCCATGGCGGGCCTTATTTTTGATGCTCTAATCAGATTTTTGAACTCAGTCACACCCTATTTTTATTTATTTTTTAAAGTTTTATGTACATTAACGTAAATCCTAAATAGCATCTTTCTTTTTAGGCTGTTTCGAAGGCACGGCCATATCGTTTTTTTTAGTTGAATGGGTGTCCTTTTTCAAAACATATGATGACTTTTCTTCCAAAAAAAGTATCCACTTCTGATGACGAATACTGAGAAAGGTTAATATGTCACTGCGTTTTTGAAAAGGGAAACACTAATTTTACTGTGGACTGTCTCCCTTGAAACTATAAATTCTTTTTAAATATTAAAATAAAGAAGGAATTATAAGTCTATTTAGGGTTATAAGAAAATTGTTTGTTTCGGTATTTAGACCCCAACACAAGGTATAGTTCAATAGTAAGAACAATTTCAGTGCGAGGGCAGATATTTAAAAACTAGTCTCTTTTAGGAAATGTTAATGGATTATCAAAGCTTATTTTGACTTAGGCAATATATAAATGTTTACAGATATTTATATTTCTCATAATTAATAATCAAGATAATTAATTACACGTTTATTTTTTATATAATGTGAAAATTACTAATATAAAAAAATAGTAATTTGCCAAAATTTGGGCGTAAAGATTTATATTTATAAATTAATTATATTAACCTTGAATTATCTCTATATTTGATATGTTTTAGTATATATATAATGTTGTCGGATCTTTTAATTATCGTTAAATTTTATTACTCTGTTTGATAATTATAAATTTGTGTGTTTATTATATATTAATAACTTTTATGGCTTTTTTTTATTATAGGAAGTTTATGCGTTATTTTTTATTGTATAAAGTAAAAGTAATTTTTAAAAAAAATAATTAAGGGTTAATTATATACCGAGCCAGCCAATAAATTGCTGTTTTTTTATCAATAATATTTGCTAAAGTTTTAATAAAAAAATTTTTAAAAAAAATAATCTTTGACCTTATCTAAATGTATTGAGAATTTCATTTATTTTATTATAATTCAGATCCAGATATTAGGTATTAATATTTGTTGAAGAGATCTGAAAAGCCCAACTCGGGCCCATCCGAAAACCGGTTTATGGGCCGGGCAAAAGTTTTAGCGGGCGGGGTTAGACCGAGAAATTCGTACATAAGAAAATTTTAAAAAATGAACATTCTGGGGTTTTTCATATATAAAAATCCGACCAGACCTTAAAGACTTCTAATTTTTCTTAAAATTTTAGTGGACCTATGTGGGCATCAGAATTTTGATATATATATTTATTTTTTTTTAATTTCAAGGTTAATATATTAATTTTTGATTATGATTATTATATGAAAATAAATCACGATATCCTTATTTTTTTTATATATTTTTTTAAGAGCTTTCTACACTAAAATATTTAAATCTATGAATAAAATATCAAATTCGCGATAAAATTGAACAATTTATTTATCATTTGATCCAATTAAGAATGCACAACATTTGATTATGTAACACGCTTGTTAAAGAAATACAGAGTAATTGAATAGAGATGAAAGAGGGAAAAATAAAAATGTGCTGGCCAGAAAAGCCTTCAAAATTTAAAAGGTGCGGGTTGGGCCTCACTTTTTGTAAAATTTAACTTCTAGGGGGACCGGTTAAGAAATGAGTAAAGAAAATTCGGAGCTGGGCAACTTGGGCAAAATATTTTTTTTATTTATTTTATCACTTAAACTTAAATTCAGTTTTTATTTTCATCTTTTAAATTACATTTAATTTTATTTTCATTTTTATGTTTATGTTTTTGTTTTTGTTTATGATTAGAACCTGTATATTTTAAATTGATCTTAATAAAGTATTAAGCTCAAATCTAGTTAAAGCTCCAATAATAATGCCAATTATCAAGATATTATGGTCCAAAATTTAAATTTATAATTTTGATCCTTCATAACGTCATCTTTACCTAAGCAAAAGAGTAGAGGTTTTAAAGTTGTCTCTTTGCTGGATAAATTTATTAGATGCTATTATGTGAGTGGTAAATAAGATCGATCTTTGGATCCAATTCCCGGCTCGTAAAAATTTATTTCCCCCAACTCGTGCTAGAACATTAACGGGCAAGGTCGGGTGTGCGCAACTTTAAAATGATTGATTATTTAATCGTTTCAATTTACAGAGATTGTATAAAAAGAAAATATGTGTTTAAATTTTGGAAATATTTATATTTTGATTACGTGATTTAAATAAAGAAAAGTTATCATCATGTATTTAATTAAATTTTTTTTGCAAATTTTCGTAACAATGAAAAATTAATGTGCATTAATATTGGGAGCCTAGGAATAACTGTAAAATTTCCGGTGTCAATTAAATATGAGAAATTTGACATTCCAATTAACATGGATAAAAAAAATATAAATGGCTTGCCTACTCAGTTATAAACAAGGGGCTTTTTGTAAGATGTGCGTCATTATCTCGCCAAGATATGCTGGAAAAGGGTTGCAAAACCTTAAGACATTGGTAAGTACCGGTATACCAGGTGGAAAGATGCCTTAAAAAATTTTAATTTTCATCTACAAAACAAATATCATGTAAATTTATGTGAAATATTTGACAATTTAAAAAGCAATAATAAATTGTAAAAAAATATCAATATCCAAAGTTTTACACGAACAAAAATTGAGACAAGTTAGAAATGATAGAAAAAGGATAATGATAATTATTGAAGTTATTATTTGGCTAGGAAGGCAGGGCCTATTACTAAGGGCACATAGAATATCCTCCGATCCCTTAACAGCAATCTATTCCAACAACAATGAAGGAAATTTTAAAGAGGAGTTATTAAAACTCTTATGTGATAGTAATGAAATATATACAAATTTTTTTATTGAACTCTCCAGAAAATGCGACTTATCTAAGCCCTTCGATACAAAATGAGATAATTTCAATATGCAACAAATTCATTTTAGGTGGAATTTCAAGAAAGGTAAAAGCAGCACCTTTTTTTTAATGTTTTAGCTGATGAGACTTCTGACGTGGCCAATATAGAGTAACCCATTAGATTTATTGATCTGGAGTTAGGAAATTTTAAGTTTGTTCAGTTCACTGTAGTTTACATTGAATAAATTTAATGATATCTGAGGCGTGTGAAATTCGGGACATCAAAAACAGTTTACGTAAAAATATTTTAATTTATTAGTTTTTAATATTATTATGTATGTTTAATGTATATTATCTTTAATAATGCTAATATATTTTACAAAATTTAGAAACAATAACTTTGGTCTGTAACTATTTCACATCGCCAAAGAAGAGGGAGCTGTTTAAAACGTATCATGAAATTGACTCAAAGAATCAAAAAAATAAACTAAAAAATCTTTGTCCGACTAGATTCATTGAATGACAAAAGTTAGTTAAACTCTTTATTGAACTAGATGATGTTGTATTGCAGCACTGGAATTTTATATATCAAGCAAGGAAAAAGAATCAGCAGATGCTGAGAATCTTTTGTAGGCTATTATAAAGCCACAATTTTAATATCAATTCAATGTGTTTATTTTTTATTTGATTATGCATATGATTTTATCGAAATGCAACAAAAAATTGATTTGGATTTATGGGAGGTTATGAATAGAGCAAAGGATATTGTAGAAATATTAACAAATATGAGATTGAATGTGGATGAAAAATTTCATCAAATATATGAGAAAGTAAAGGAGATTGCTAATATGTTTGGGATTGAAATTTTAAATTTAGAATAGTTTCCATAGAATCTAATCGTCTAAATATTGATGCATACGATTGAGGATTTTTAAAATAAACATTTTTATTCCCGATATTGATACATTTTTATTTCAATTGAAGGAAAGATTTATTAGTCATAATTTTATTTTTAAAAGCTTTTATTTTCTTTTGCCGGAAAGTCTAAACTGTTGATTACACGAAACACGAAAGGATATTAAGAAAATCCCAGAGTTTTACGCTGATGATTTAGTAGACTCATATGATAAGTCACTTTGTGATGTCGAATTATGCTATAAAATTATTGAAAGAATAGAATATTCTTTGAGACTAAATAATGCTCTGCAGGCCCTTTCATGTGTAAATGCACTTAAGATTTCCTGCCTAATAAATTTTTTTAGCTACCTTAACAATTAGTACCTGACTAATGAAAGGTCTTTTTAACTTTACAAAGGTTAAAAACCTATTTAAGAAATACCACCGGTGAAAAACGTTTTTATATGGAGGTTATTCTAGATAAACTAGCAAAATCTCTGAAAAAGTTAACCTCTCTTTATAAATTAAATCAAAAAATTACAATATTATACTAGTTTTAATATATAATATTTATAATCAAATTTTTTCGTAAAATGAATTGTTAGTTATAACATTTACAGAATTTTTATATTAACTCTTATATGCAATTAATACAGGGGCGGACTGGTCAGTAAGCCTAATGGGAAAATCTCCCAAGGGGGCTCGAGATTTTTTAAATTTGGAAGTCTCTTTAGTAAAGAAAAAAGAATTTTTTCAAATTAAATTGGCATAAAATTTAATAATGTTTTAATACAATTTTTTTTTAATTAGAAAATTTAAATAATTATTAAATATTTATCTGGTGGAATTATCA